GTGGGGCATGCAGGAGGCAGCCGATCAACGGTTCTCTCTCATCATTGATGTTTCTATCTCTCTCTCCCTCTCCGAAATAAAAAATGTACAGCTAGGAATGTTCCAAAACCAGTGAGCTTTAGTGTTCTTGCATCCCAGATGGAGCTCCGAAAAAGAATAGTAATAACTGCCCTCTCTGTGTCACTGAGTTGAGGATCAAATAAAATAAAACAGATAAAAGTACTTTACAATATGTAAATGCACAGCGATTATTAAAGTAAGCATTACTAAAGGGCTTAGCTATTGTTAGCATGCAAATGGCATGGATTAGCATTAGTGTATTAATTCTGTTGCTGGAGTTCTAACCTTCTCAGATAAAATTCACTTGCTGTACATGGCAATTTACTTCTGCAGAGACTCCCAGTGCTGCTCTGTGACCCAGTGAGGGCTTAATAATTACATGTTGACTCAGTGATTATTCCTAATAAACACAATCCTTCAAGTTTTTCCCAGCATGTATCATCACCACAAATCATCCTGACATACCTGTTTATCCCTTTGTGCCACAGCTTGTAAACGCATCAAACTGTGGGATAAACTCTCCTAATGTTTATGTAGTGGGGGAAAAATCAACTATTTCTCAAATTTATCTTATTCCATCAGGAATTCCTAATTAACCTTCATCTAACATAGTATCTTTTAAGAACTTAATTTATCTTTTTTCTTAGTATAATAACCTCTAGGTCCATCCACATGGTCACAAATGGTAAGATTTTATTCTTTCTTATGGCTGAGTAATATTCCATTGTATATATGTACCTCATATTCTTTATCCAATCATCTACCAATGGACACTTAGGTTGTTTCCATATCTTGGCTATTGTAAATAATGATGCAATAAACATAGGGATGCATATATCTTTTCAAAGTAGTGTTTTGGATTTCCTTGGATAAATACTCAGAAGTGAGATTGGTGGGTCGTATGGTTTCACTTATATGTGGAATGTGTAAAATAAATGAGCAATCAAAACAGAAACAAACTCATAGATACAGAGAACAATCTGATAGTTGCCAGATGGGAGGGAGGTTGGGGGCTGTGTGAAAAGGTGGAGGGATTAAAAAGTACAAATTGGCAGTTACAAAATAGTCATGGGATGTAAAGTACAGCTGAGGGAATACAGTCAATAATATTGTAATAACTATGTATAGTGTCAGGTGGGCACTAGACTTATACGGGAGACGACTTCATAAATTATATAAATGTCCAATCACTATGCTATACACATATAATATTGAATGTCAACTGTAATTGAAAAATAAAAAATATTTTAAGAGATACATTAATTTTAGGTTTCTCCAGTGGTTATCTTTCTTCAGATATTTTCAGGCTTTGACGCTTTGGTACATTTTTGTCTGTTCAACTATTCTACTAGGAATATCAGTGACCATTGCAGTTTGGATAATAGATACTTGTTATTTTCCCAGTAGAGTTGGAATAAGTCACACCTTGACTTCTGAAATTGGCCCACTGCGGTCTACCCTTCAGGATGAGCAGAGGGGTATTTAACACAGACTTTTAGACGTATTTTTCATGAACTCAAAGCTTGCCTGCAACATCTCTGTGTCTGGGGAGTGTACTTGCTGTCACGAGGCTGCTCTTCAGGACTGAGTGTGAGGAATCCAGGCCGATGACCGATGGTGACAAGCACCAACAAGGGTTGTCACTACAAGTGTTACTCCATCCTCTGAACTCTCAGGATTTGCATCCATTCAGCATCTCCATGCTCACCGGAAGACACATCGTGGCAAAAGAAAAAGAAGAAAAAAAAACCCATGCTGGGATCTTTTCAGTATCTGCATTTTTTTTTGGCAAATGATTTCTGACATTTCCATTGTCAAGTCTGGGAATTACCTCTAAAAGAAGAACTGCTTCTTTCCTTAGGAGTCCCTTGAAGTAATGAACATCTATCAAGAATTAAGCAACTACTACTTATTCATTAAACAAATAGTTAAATTTCAGTGAAGAACTGGCTCTTTTAGAATTAGACATGCAGACGGTTGCACATACTTTTCTGCTCATAACCATAGGAGATAATGCAGTTGATGAAAGATTTTAAATATATATCTGTACACACACATATAGAGTTACATTTATATATATGTAGTTAATATGGTAGGTTTACAAATGAGGGCCTGATTTTTACATTTTTTCAAGGGTTGTTAAAAAAAAAACAACTAAAGAATTTATGTGTTAGAGACAACAGGGCACACAAGGCCTAAAATATTTATTATCTGGTCCTTTATAGAACATGGCTGCTGACCCCTGAACCACGTGGAAAGTACCAATAATAGAGCTCACTCAGTTTTTACTTTCACCAGGAAGGAGTATACTGTCTTCTTTCCTCGGAGGGGTTAATTTCCACTTGTAATATCAGTCTTCACAGCCATTCTTAAAAGAGAATGAGAAGCCTCGGATAGCTGACTCTGAAATGGAATTCTCTGCCCCCAGCCACTCTGTTGTAGCTGCTCTTGAATCAGAGCTGCCACCCTTGGCCCCTGTGGGTGCTATTGCTCTCATTCTCCCAGACGGCTCCCCAGCACCATGGCCAGCCACCGCTTTGCTGCACATCTTCTTTGACCTTGGCTTTCTGGCCAAGTGATGATTGCGTTCTAATTGCTCTTGGGAATCTGCTGTGCTACATTGCCCTAATTTTCACTTGCTTTCACACTGTAGGGCCCCTCTTCTGTATCCCTTTCTCTACCTTCTCACCCAGAATCTCGGCTCTGTTGAGGCAGGTGCCTTCCAAATATAATATTCCTACCCTTACTCTTCAATTGCTCTCGTCTAGGCCCAGTTTTCTTGCTGGTTTCAAAGCAGGTCCAGTTCTGTGCCCTGCGTCAGATTATAACAAAGAGAGGATTTCTGGTGGCCTCCTTCACTAGGCCAATTGAGGCATTTTTGTAAGCAGTATTTATCCAATGGTAAGTCCATTCTAAATGACTTTAATGAGAATATTACTAAATCTACTGAATATGTCACTTAAAGAATATTTAATTCTGTGTTTAACCTCCTGGTAAATATATGGCTTAAGGACTAAACTTCCGGTAAAATTTTCCGAGCGATTCTGCCTCTTCTGACTCACTAACTCATTTACTGACACATCATCTTGCCCTCAGGCATGACTACAATCACTAAAATTCTGTAAATAAATGCAGTCTTTTTATTATAGCACAGAGGACAACATCCTTCTTTGTAAACACACCCACATGGAAATTCAGCTTTTAACTGGTGGGTGGTCAGTTGGTTCAGGCTGACTCATAGCTTTAATTTTTGGAATAGGCTTCGAGAGGTTACCCCTCAATTGCAATAGATGCCTTTCAAATAACTTTGTATCTGGGCATCTTTTGCCTTTCATTTCCTTCTCCCTTCTCATTTCTTGTACACTTCCCTTCTCCCAAGCCCCTCTTCAATATTATATCATTATCTCAACTATAAACTGGGAACACCCAGCCAAGATACACTTGCCACCCCCAAGAACACTGACCTACTAGTAGGAACTACAGGGAGGTGGGGGTGTTCATTCATTCATGACATATTTTCTGACACCCTTCTTTGTGCTACAAACACCACGCTTGGTTCTAGGGAAACAATATTGAGCCAAAAGGAAAATGTTGCTGCCTTCATTTGGGGGAGGCGGCATCCATCACAGGTTTTTATGAATAATAAATGTGTAATAAACTAATATCCTAGCTCTGATATAGAGAGGAAGAACTCATATTAGTGTTTAGCTCCCTAACAGCTGTGATCTCTGATCCCCGTCTGTCTGTATTTCTCTCTCTCCCCCTCTCTCCCTCCCTTCCTCTCCCTCTCCCTCTTTGTTAAGTCGGGATGGAGAAAATGGCTAACAACACCAAGCCCTGTCATTGCTACGGTGCTTTCTGCCAGTGGAATTCTTGATTCCCCCAACGTAGGTGCTACAATCTCCATTTTAAATACCAATAATGGAGTAAGACAACGTTGTTGTTACTCAGACTGTCATTGGAAGGGGGAATACATGCATGTTTGCATTATGGAGCCTAGAGACAGAAATATGCCACAGTCCCTCATTTGAAACCATCAGATTTAGGTAAGGCTGCTAACCCACCTAAACCAGGGACTCTGGATTAACCGGGACTGGATCTCAGAATTGGAGATGCATGCCACATGGTGAAAAAACGATGCATTTCCTAAGCTAGGTGCCACACACTCGGTCTCTAATCTCCGTTTTTTCTTCCCCGCCAGAAATTTCTAAATCCCTGACGAATACGCCCAGTCATACTTTCTGAACTTTTGAGCAAACATCTTTAGCTTCTGTTTGCCCGCAGAGCCCCCAGGCACAGGCCCGGGAACAGAGGCCTGGGAGGAGCACCCCCCCCCCCCCCCCCGCCTCCTTGCGCCAGGGATCCCTGCGAGGGGGTCTGGCTGCGGGGGGAGGCCGCTCAGCGTCAGTAGCCACCAGCCTGCCACGCCTGAACGTGCTTCCCAGCCCTGGCTTCATCCGTGGCGCCAGCTGAACGAGGAGCCGCGTTATTTTTTACATCCCCGCTGCAATCCTTTATAGTTATTTGCAGGAAGGGCATGAAGAAAGGATTAAGAAAGCAGTGCTTGGTCTTAGTTTTTTCTTGGAGGAGGGAGTTGGACTAGAGAGGTAGGGGGTCGTGGAGAAGGCAGGTCGATTTCTCCGCGGATCATCCTTGTCTCTGGCCTGGAAGCCTCATTCTTCCCTCTGGCTCATCCCCCGCTGACAGCGCCCCCTCCCCCACAGCTCGAGGTGCCGCTGTCCCCTCGGAGGCGGCCGGGGCTGGGCTGCTGCATCACTCCGCTGCTTTTTCTTTCCCTCGCCCTCGCCCCTCCCAGCCGAGCATGCGCAGTGCGTCCCGTGCCAGGCAACAGCATCAGCACCAGCATCAGGACCCGAAGCCGCGCTCGCTCGGCGCGCCCCCGGGGGCAGGGAGCAGGCCGCCGCGCGTGCCCGCCGCTCGCTCCCGCGGCTCCGCATCCTCAGCCCCAGCGGCAGCCCCCGCAGTCGCCGAAGCGGCCGCGCCCGCCGCGGGGAGGGAGGAGCATCTGGGGAGGTTCCAAGTTGGCGGAGCCACTGGGACCCCCCCAGACTCTTCAGCGGCGGCTCGGGGCGGGCCTGAGACACGAGCAGGGCAGGGGGCACCGCCTCGTCCCTAGTCCCCGAGCCCTGAGCCCTGACCCCTGCCCGCGGCCGCACCATGCGCGCCGAGCCGGCGTGACCGGCTCCGCCCGCAGCCTCCCCGCAGCCGAGTCCGGCGCTCTCCCCGGTCATAGCGAGCGGCGCCCCGGAGCTATGAGCCATGAACCCGCCCGGCAGCAGCTCCCGGCGGCCGCCCCTAGCGGGCTGCAGCTTCCCGCGAGCCTCCAGCGACCCCCGCGGCGGCGGCCCCGGCCCCGCCGGCCCGGCGCCTGCCCGCGCCCTGGCCCGCGCGCCTCCTTGCCGCCTGCTCGTCCTTCTCCTGCTGCCTCCTCTCGCCGCCTCGTCCTGGCCCCGAGCCTGGGGGGCTGCTGCACCCAGCGGTGGGTATGGCCCCGGTGCCCTTTGCATTGCCTGGCCTGCGGGGCCCTGCAAAGGAAAGAAAGGACGCTCGGGTCCGTGCGCTCCAGACACGTCCCGGCTCGGCCTTTCCGCACCTCCCTGCCTGCCCTCTACCTTTCTCATTCTTAGACCCCACTTATTCCACTGCACTTTTCGAAGTTCATTTGCGTTGCATTCACCAAAAACCCATTCCGATTCCTGTCGGTTCCACGGGAAGGTATCCAGTGGGTGCTGTGCCCCTCTGTGCCCCTTGGCTGAGGGGAGCCCGGTGGCTGGGGAATGCAACAAGGGAGCAAGTTGCTTCTTGGGTGGTGGAGCCTGACTGGGAATGCGGAAGGGTGTGATGGCGATAGTGGTAATGGGTTGTTTCCTCAAAGTCCCCTCTGGGTGTATTCCCTGCTGCTGGACTAAAAGTGGGGAAGAGAAACTTTGGAGATAGAAACCGCTGGTTTGTAATTTCTCAAAATGCTTGTCATTATCATGAACAATTCAGATAATATAATGTTCAATACAATCGGAATTCAGTGGAAGCAGAAAGATGGCCTTGGCAGGAGCATGAGAAGGAATTGGAAAGCTGCCAGCGCCTGCATCCCTCTATGGCAAAGGAGTTTTGCTCATCTCAAAGTTAGAAGAAAAGGGAATTGTCCTTTTTGTTAAACGAGTCAATTCACATGAACTCAGCTCTAGAGTTAACTTAGGAGCATCCTTAGCTCTTAGATGGGAAACTCCGAGTCAGAATCCCTTTGAGCTTCTGTGGACTCAGAGAAGGGTCACAGCCCGTCCCCCCACCTCCCCATACATGGAAGTCTAGATTTGAGACCCGTTAGAACTATACATACAAAACATAAAGCAAAATCAACAGCACATTGTTATATAAGCCTTATTGGTTGTTAAACTTATCCAGGCCACTTCACTGTTGCCATAACTTGCTTTCCTGTGTGTCCACTTCTCACGTGCTTATCAATAGGAAACTTTATTTTTGCCATTAATGGAAAAAATGCACTGTGGTACTTATGAATTTGTAGGGTATATATATATGTGTGTGTGTGTGTTTGTGTATGTTTGTGCCTCCTGCCCCCTTCTCCCCAACCAGCTCCGCTGTGGAATGAAACTACAGAAAAAAAATTGGGAGCCCTGGCAGATGAAGACAACACATTGCAATGGAATAGCAGCAGTAACACCAGTCACAGCAGTGCCACGCAGAAGGAAATAACACTGCCTTCAAGACTGGTCTATTACATCAACCAAGACTCCGAAAGCCCTTACCACGTTCTTGACACAAAGGCAAGGCACCAGCAAAAGCATAACAAGGTAGGCAGGGCGCTGGGTATGCAAAAGTAGCCGCCGCAAGGAGCTACTTTTGATTTGATGTTCTGCCAGAATCTGATTTCACACATTTTACTGAAGCATTTTATTAGGCAGTCAGTTACTGTCACGATAGGGCAGAAACTGGAGGGAATTCACCTGGGCTGCCCTGGAAGAGGATTGCCCTTTCTCTTCTCTGACTCTAAACTGGAATTGGAATTTTCTCAATGGCCTCATAAGTGTAGCAGCTGACATGTGGTCCCTGTATCTTTCAGGCGCATTGGACACTGAACAGTAGTAAAGTGACTGTGTTTATGATCCTGACTTACAAGTGTGAGGCTTCATGGAAGGGTGCAGCATTCCCCGTCCCATGATGACAATTGCTTTACAGTCTGGACCCAGAAGGTTGTAAGATGAGGCTGTTTGGCTACAGACTCACATAGAAATTGAATATTTAAATTTAAGCAACTTCTCTCTTTCTTTTTAATAAATCAGTAGGAAAAAATACTTTGTTTTATATTTTCAGTAGGTAAAGACATTGACATTTAAAAAGACTATGGTGACTATAAACAAACCATTTGTGCAATATAGCAACCAGTTTTGGTCAGTATAATCCTTTAGACTTTACCTTGCATTCACTGTAAGTGGTTGCTTTTACTTTCTTTCAGGTTGGTTCAGAGAGTGGCCCTGAAGGTAGGGAAGGTAGAGGTGCTTGACATCCAAAGACTTTAAGGGACTTTTCCCCTTGCATACTATTTATTTGAGTTCATAATATTTTGGACCCCAACAGATTAACACATTGGGTTATCAGTGCCTCTGCTCTTTATCAGGAGCAAAAAATTGAGTCGATATGTCCAATACTTTCCTTTGGATTATCTCCGTTTAGTTGAAAGGAACAGTAACTGTCTAAACATTCAGAACTTTAGAAAAGTATCTGTGGTTTATATTATGGTTTTTATTAGTTTTCTAAAATAGAGGGAAATGGTAACTGTTTATCAGATGGGGAGTTAGAAATGTAAGGCTTTGAAGGGAACTGTCCAAAGATTGTAAAACAGCTCATATAAAAATTCAAAAGGCCTGAATATTAAAGTTTTACAAGTCAGGTTTCTGAGAAAATGCGTCCTTCATACTGGTTATTATTGGAGAAGTTAATTTTGTTTCTCAAGATTATGAAGTCGCTGCTACCCCCCTCAGCTGAGATGAATGGGTCTCTGATCTTGTAGTCCCCTTCCCATCCGCTCCTATGTCACTGAAAGGGTTGATTCCTGCATCACGTCTACCCATTTGTCTCGTTCATAGGAGTGGGTGGTGTCTTTACAGTAGAAGAGTCCAGCGCCGTCTCCATGAATGCTTTGAGGCCCATTTTATAGCTTTCCTAATGAAAGAGACCTTCAATGGTTAAGTGGCGAGTTCTCAGACTCCAGTGTCTTTGCGTAAGATATTGGAGGAAGAAATAAAAGCTGCCTCAAAGGCTATTTTAAATAATGCCCAAGCCCTCCTGAGCTGAGACTTGAAAGCAATTCCAGTGGAACTTCTTTGTAACGCAGGTGTTGGAGGCTATGAGTAATGCCTGTCTTATAGTCTAACCTGGTGTGGCTGCATTGTTGGTAGTGCATGGTTTGACTACAATATGTCTGAATTTCTGTGATAATAGGTTTGTTAAAACTTCACCCACCACTCATGTTGAAGAATAGATTTTTCACTGTGCAACTCATACTTGCTGTTGGAATGGTTCTACCTCTCCACTTTTATTCCCCAGGATAGTTGGGCTTCTTTTATCTTAAAAAGATGTTTACAGAGAAATTATATTTGAAAGTACTTTTCTTTTTTTAAAATTAGTTTAATTCAATAAACATTTGTTGAATGTTTCTATGTGCAAGGTGCTATGCCATAGATTCAGAGATAAGAGGTAAAGGGTACCAGGAGGAATAAGACATAGTATGTTTTCCAGGAGACACAAAAATGAGATGAGCAACATTCTGAAAAGTGCTCCTATACAGTTATAAACTGTCTTCTTAAGTGGCACATTCCCTGAAGTTTCCCTTTGTGTTCTGTGATTTTACTTTTACTTCTGTTTTTAAGCATCTCTAGAATTAGTTGACAAGAAGAGTTTCTAATGCTTTCTGCTTATATCTTGGTGACTTGCCTAATAATAGTGATGATAGAACTTGTTAGTTTCACTACTTTACAAATACTTCAGTAAGAGAAGAAGTACAGAATTTCACCATTTTTGATTTTATAAGTTTTGATTTTAATATCTCTGTAGCATGTACCTTTTTTTCTTCCCTGATTTCACTGCACTCAAGCACATTTTAATGAATGTCTGAGAAATGCTGAATCACTGTGCTATTCTCCTGGATTCTCATAGTTGGGGGTAGAGGTGGAGAGGTAAAGTCCTAGATATAGGTTGCCAGGCAGAGCTCTGTATTTATTTCATAAATATTCAGTGTTGATCCGGCCTTATTACTTTGCAGCTGTGAAAGTTAAAATGTTTAACTCTTTCAAAATCGGTGAGTTCAAGAGGAGATGGTACAAAGCAAATACAAAACACCTCTATATTACCAGTGTTTTTGAATACCTTAAGGTTTTCCTTGTGGAATTGTTAATGGCAAATATTAGAGTTAAACCTCGGTTCTTGAGTTTGGCTAAGAAAGAATTCAGAGCAAAGAACGCTGATGCAAGAGAAAGTTTATTTAGAAAATCACAGAGGTTGAAGAAGGGAGCCAGCTGGGCTGTATGGACTTAGGAAACAAGTTAAAGAGGCAAAAGAAGGGCCCTTTGAACTTGGTAGAAAGAAAGCAAAGGTACCTGCCTGAGAAAGAAGTGTGGACGTGTGTGTGTGTGTGTGTGTGTGTGTGTGTGTGTGAAAAAGAGAGAGAGAAAGAGCACACAAGCGCACCCTGTGCTCCTCATCTTTAGGATTTTTATTTGTTTTGCAAAGGTGAAGATTTTAGGTGAGGTCTCCGGAGGATCTCAATAGAATGTTTATTAGCCTTCCAATTGTGTCCTTTCAGGGTCGTGGTTTCTACGGATTGGTGGACACTAGGGTCATGGTATCTACTGATTGGTGGACACTAGGGTAGAGGGTCATTAGTCATTGTATCTGGTCCTGATGCCAGCCAGCCATGGTGTTGCTTGGTCTGGTTTTGCTGTTCTTCTGGGCTTGGAGCTAAAACACAGTTGAGGCCTAGATATTATCTCTAGTTTGACCAAAACTCTGTTTCTGTGGTCAATAGACCCAAGGTTGTGTTCCTAAGATTATTTGATGCTGATTAGAACCTCATTGTCCTAATGCTTAATGCTTAAGGGAGTGGTCATGCAAGGACTTGTATGCAAGTTGAATGAGGCTGTTCTCTGGTCCCTTCTTCCTCCTGAAGCCTAAACTGGATGACTAGCATCATACTAGGGGAGAAAAAGTCACCCTGAGGGTCAGGTCCCAGCCTATAATAGTTGTTTTCTCCAGTGTTGCCTGTTGCTAGGTACCCAGGACTTTCTTCCCTGGTGACATTTTGTGTCTGGCCTGTTGTTCCTGCTCTGCTCATGCCTGTCTAACTGCCTACTCTATCAGAATCTTTTTCTTTTTTTTTTTTTTTTTAAAAAAATGTGTTTTCATTGATTTCAGAGAGAGGAAGAAAAAGGGAGAGAGAGATAGAAATATCAATGATGAGAGAGAATCATTGTTTGGCTGCCTCCTGCACACCCCCCTACTGGGGATCGAGCCTACAACCCGGGCATGTACCCTGTCTGGGAATTGAATCCTGACCTCCTGGTTCATGGGTCAGTGCTCAACCACTGAGCAATACTGGCTAGGCTCTATCAAAATCTTTTTATTTCCAAATAGGGTGATAGATGGCCTATTTATCCAAAGTACTCCATTTTTGAGAATGAAAGAGGGCACACTTAATAATTATTCCAGAACAATAGGCATAAACCAGGATGGTCCATATCAGAGGGGGAATGTGGTCACCTCCGTTCTAAGTAGTTACTGGTTTTTGGTGCTTATTCAAATTCAAGTTTCTTCATAGTTTATTTTCTTTTCTGGTGATTTACTGTAAATTTTTCTTACTAGCTAAGATGTCAGTTTACCATGTAGAAGTATTAGGGTCTGCAATGGAAGAATTTAGTTTTGCTTTTTTACCAAGACATGTGTTCTTCATTTGTAGATGCTTTTATGAGCATTAACGGAATTTTTATGGTTACTAAACATAAGCATTTTATTAACCACCAATGCAATATATGAATAAAATGGAGCGTACATTTAAAAAGAGAGAAAAACTATTTAGATTCACTCGCTCATTCATTTAATCTGAGCTAAATTTTTGAGGTCTGTTCCTAAGAAAGTTAATTAATCTGTTGGGGAGGAAAAATAATTTTTTTCTCTACCCTACTAGGTACTTGTCTGAGACACACACGGTGTTAAAAAAGTAAGGTTAACAGGAGAACAACAAACAGAAATTTAAAGCACATTACATAGGAGAGGCTCAGGAAAACTGAGGAACTCTTGAAAACGGCCCAGGCCATCACCTTAAATAACATCTCCTGCTAAAGACAAGATCTTGGAGGTGGGGAACCAGTTGTGGGAGGGTACAGGGAAAGCACAATAAACAAGGTTAAGGTTGTTATGCAGATTTAAGTCTCTGCCTTCTCCATTGATAAAAGTTTCTCAAAATTTTAGTCACCCTCCTCTTCCTGCTACATAGAGGGAGACAGGGGTGGTATATTCTTCTCCTGTTCAAACCTTTCCTGAAACTTTCCGTTAGTCAAAAATTATTGGCCCTATATCCTACTGTCTTAGGATTCTTTTCTCTTCCACGTAAGAAGGGATTCATGAGGTACACTGTGCATACATAACACAGGGTCTGGGGACGATGAATGTCATCTCTTTTGACTCTAGTTGGCCTGTTTATGCTCAGTCTTTTGTTACTTAATCTGCTGTGTTGCAGAGACAGAGCTGGTGTTTTGAATTTAAGAATATGTAGACAATGTCCTACCGAAAGAGAGGGCAC